ATGTGACCAGGTAAGCCCCACAGTTCTCACGCCAAGGTGACGGGTGGGAGAGTCTGAGGTTATTTCCCCCTTTTCACACCTTCCCTTTTTCTAAAGGCAAGGGTATGCAGGAAGGTGGGGCCGGTTTCTCTCAAGGAGTACTGCAGCCCACTATAGCAAGAGTGGCCTGGCCAAACTTTTTTACTGGGGGAGCAGTTGCTTTTCTCTAACACCTTCCAGTCCTAGTATTCTATGTCTTGTGCACCAATATTGAGGTCATGTGCGCTTGTTTGGATTTGGGCCATCATGGCACCCAACTTGTTAACAAATATCTTATATGTACATTTTTTAAAATGCTATGGAAGATAGAAAACAAGGGATAATTAACAAGGTGCATGACTGTAAATGTTGAATATGAAATCAAATAAAGAAAATTAATACTGCAAAATTTTCAGTAGCCATTTGGTATCTTACTTGGATGCATAACTCCCTTTGAGGGTGGGGTTTAAACTACACTCCCCTGTATTGTCGAAGGAGGATGGACACCTAACTCAGGGTTGTGAATTCCACCAGGTGACCTGAAAATTAGGCACTACAGCACTTAGTGGTGCAATGCCTAAGTTCCCCTTTTAAATTTAGTTCCTAGTCTCAGTGCCTCAGCCTCGGAGGCTAAATCCAAGCTCCTTAAATATGGAGTAACTGTTCTCTATAAGTTTAGTGTTAGCACCATGCAGTCTTTCTAACCATCAGACTGCTTTCTATTCACTACATGCCATGTTGAAAGAGGACACCATGGCCTACATCATGGGCTTTATCTAAAAACAACTGACATCAGAAGAAAGACCTCAGTGGGCTTTGATTCATCCCACAGATGAATTGGGCAATGCTGAAGTCATCCTGAAAAGAACTCTGAGCTAATTTTCCAAAATTTGGTTCAAGGTTCAAAATCTTTGGGACAATATAGAAATGAGCTTCAATATGTGCATCTATACTCTCACTTGTGTGACCACAAAAGACCCCCCGCTGGCTTTGAAGCAAATACTAATTTGCTGTTAGTGGGTCTGAAGCCATCAGCCCTCAGGAAGCTCCAACTAGTAAAAGCATTACAGTGCATCTCATCAGGAACATGGGCTACTGTGAGCATATCACACTTAACTTCCCCTCCTTCTACAATATGGGAATCAATTTCAAGGGCTCAGTCCTTATCTTCAAAGCACTCGGCATGGGATACATAAGGTGGCCTACAGCTCTAGGATAAAATGGAATTTTCTAATGTAAGGTCAAGGCTTGTCTGTGCCGGGGACAGTGCTTTTGCGGGAGCTGATTCAAGACCATGAAAAGAACTCTCATGGGAAATAAAAACCATCAGAAACTCCCCACCTTCTTCAACTCATACAAGGTGCACTTTTTCAGCCTGCCTTCTCAAACAAACTCCGAGCAGTGTGTGCATTTAAAATCAAATCCCTCCAAAACCAGATCAGAAATTTCACATCACACAATCGTTTTCTGGGGAATGAATGAGAGAGAGAATTAACTAGTTCTGGCACATGGGACAGGTGCCCTCCACAAGGCCCGCCTTCAGAGCAGCTGGGCAGCCACTACATGGCTCTGGCCACAGCTCCAGCCCTGGGTGATGGCAGCTGCTGGAGCTGGAGCCTGGGATGTGGAACCTGGGGAGTCTTCTTTAATCTGAATGTCCTAAGCAGAGCTAGAGGAATCGCTTAAAAAAATCAGTAACCTATTTACAAATATTGTAAAATTTAATATGATTTGCAAACCTATATCAAATCAGTTGTGTAGATAAGCAAAAGCTAAAATAGAAATTTTGCTCATCGAGGAAAAATTGAGAAATTCACTGGATCATTATTATATAGCTAGCGCTAATTAATGTTATGGAATAGTTCCGGTCCTGTATGTTTACATGAGAATATGCCTTTCAGTAAATCAGACTAAATTTTCTACCAGCTGTGATAAACTGTCAAAGGTTTTGTTTATTTACTTCTACTTAAATAATAATTTTGATAGTAACAGACCAACTGATAATCTTGTCTTTACAATTTTTAAAATTCTAATATTTCCCTCCAAAATTCTGTATTTAAAAGGGCAGTGTGTATATATTTAATAATACAGGCAGTCCCCGACTTACGCGGATCCGACTTATGTCGGATCCGCAGTTACGAACGGGGCTTTTCTCGCCCCGGAGGACACAGGAGGTGGGACCGCCCAGACGCACCGCGGTCCCGCCGCCCGCATCCTCCGTGGTGAGAAAAGCCTGGTCTGCTGGGGGGGGGGGGGGAGGCGGGGGGGGGCGCCCCCCC